CTTGAGGCATCGTCGGGGTTCTCTGGGCAATCGGAAGGTGATGATCTGCAATCTGAAGACGTCATCGGCCGTCTTGGCTGCGTGGAGGCCCGACTTGAGGCCACCTGGGGCCACATTGAGGCAATCTGGAAGCCTCCCGGGGGCCTCCAGCAGGCAGTTTTGACGCATCGAAGGCACTGTCGGGTTATCTGGGGCCTCTTGTACGTTTCCTATGGGCCTTTTGGGGCCTCTTGGGGGGCTTTGGGGGGCCTCGTCGGACCACTTGGTGGCCTTTAGGGGTCTCCTGTGGGCCTTTTGGGGGGGGGTCTGCTGTTGGGTTCGCGTTCCCCTTCTTGGGCCTCTCTTGGGGCCGTCTTGGGGCCCTCTCGGGCCGTCTTGGGCACCTCAAGTGCCGTCTTGGGGCCCTCGTGGGCCACATTAGGGTCCTCTTGGAGGCCTCTTCCTCTATCTTGGATAGGTATTAGAGGCCTCTTAGGTCGTCTTGGAGAGCCGGGATGCCCACAAGCTGAAAACTCTGAAATCCGTAAAACAAACGCCGATGGGAAAACAATGGTTTATGCCTCTTGGGGCCTTTGTGGGGAGTTTCTTGGAACCTCTTCGGCCCGTTTGGAAGCTTCTTGGGGGTCTCTTGAATCCTACTCGGGGCATCTCGGGGCCTCCTGAGAGCCTCTCGGGGTGGAAGGTTCGGATTTGATGTTCGTGTTACCCCTCTTGGGGCCCTCTCGGGCCATCTTGGGCGCCTCCGGCACCGTCTTGGGGCCCTCGTGGGCCGTCTTGGGGCCCTCTTTGAGGCCTCTTCGGCTATCTTGGAGCGGTCTTGGAAGCCTCTTGGGCCGTCCTGGAGAGTCCGGGCGCCAAAAGGCTGCAACCCCGAATCTCCATCAGAAAACTATGGTTGAAACTATGTTTGCCTCTTGGAGCCTTCGTGGGAGGCCTCTTAGAACCTCTTCGGCCTGCTGGGAAGCTTCTTGGGGGCCTCTTGCGGCCTGTCGGGGGCTTCTTGGGGCTTCCTGAGAGCCTCTCGGGGTGGAAAACTTGGATTTTCGGTTCGTGTTACCCCTCTTTGCCCCTCCTTGAGTCTCGAGCCGTCTTGGGCGCATCTGGCGCCGTCTGGGCCCTCTTGGGCTCTCTTGTGGCCGTCTTCGAGGTATCTGGGGCTACCTTGGAGCGGACACTGCGGCCTCTTGGGCCGCCGTGGAGCGCCCAGAAGAGCACAAACTCAAAAGGTGAGAACTCGAACATCCTTCAAAAACCAAAAAGGAAACTCCATGATATTTGCCTCCTGGGGTTCCTTGGAAGGCGTCTTGGAAGCCTCTCAGGGCGTCGGGGGGCCCCTTGGACAAGCTGGGGCTAATTCTCAGGTGATCTCGGGCCGTCATTACTCGTTTTCGCATTGTGGAATCGCAATTTCTGGCAATCTGGGGCCGTCTTCGGGCGAACTCAAAGAGCCACCGGCGCCGCGGCAGGGCCCCCAGTGCTTCCCGTCCTGCCATGCGCTGTCGAGGGCCCAGTCCTGGGCCCCCCCGCCTCGCGCCCAGGAATATGTACATATTCTCATGCATTCATTCATACTGCTGCAATCCCTCACTGAATCCACTTAAACATGCACTGGGACCGCAGAGCCTGGCGCATCATGTCCGAAAACTTGTGTGAGAGGACTTATGCTCTGGAACGGAGCACGAGGCCAGGCTCCCCTCGCTCGTAGCCCGACTGTGGGCTGGCGGGGGAACCAAGGCGCAGGGGCAGTTTTACGGTTGCTCTGCCCGCCGCGCCAATTCGCGCATCAAAATCCTGTGGCGAAGAGCCTCTAATCTGGTCATATAGTCTGGGGTCTCAGGCAGAGGCGCAGAGCGTGTTGCACTACTATTTACTGCTTCCTGAGCTGGTGCGCCAGCCCGCCGATGGGCGCCCCCCCTGGAAGACGCACGGCCCCCGCTATCCTCAGCGCGAGGGTGGGGAGGCGGTCCAGGCTCACGCAGGTCAGGTTGGTGCTGGTGTCGATCACGAGCGGGTGGTGGTACTTCTGGTTTGCCAGCTCGTCGTTCTGCTCCTTGGTGGTCGCCATGGGCCAATGACCGCTCACGCTGTGCATGATCCTCGATTGTGGTGCTGCGTTGCCCTTCTTGAAGTAGCCGCTGCACCTGAACGTGAAGCCACTCTTCGAGCCCGTCTGGTTTGTCCGCGTTCACGTTTGCCAGCAGCCTCTGCACTCCGAGGATGACCATCAGTGCGTCGTTGGGCTCCCCGTCCACGTTGAGTGTCGCCAGCTGCTCTAACAACGCTTTGAGCGCGTGGAACTGCGGCGAGCCGTAAGAGTGGCCCGACCCGGCCGACCTCACGCTTTGGTCGTACTTCTCCCCCGCCTGCTTCATGCCAACTACGGTAGGATGGCCCGTGGGGCACCGAAAGTGCGAGTCCTTGGCCTCCTGCTCTCGCTGCCTCGCCTCCAATTGGAGCTGCACTTCCTCTCCGCGTCCTTGGGGGTGCCCATCTTGGACTTCTTCGAGCCGCCCTGCTGCCCTCCTTGGGTTCGCCGCCCCCGCCGCCGCCGAAGCCGCCAATGCCTCGCCCCCCCCCGCCTGAAGCCGCCGCCGCCGCCCCAGTCGCCTGGCCTTCTGGAGGCCACGCCGACATCATGCGCGAGGTAGTGATCTGGATCAATGATCTGCTCAAGGTGGTCCGATATCAGGCGCGCGTCTAAAGCCTCCGCAGTCTCAGCAAGATGGCTACACATCGTACATTGTCGAATACTGTGTTGAACCTTAGCATGACATCTTGCGCTGCCGTCGACGAAACACCTGCCCTTCTTGAGATCGTTGGGTACATGATGCTGAGCAGCTTCTCTGGTCGCGAACGTACTCCTACACATCAAACAGCAGTTGGAGAGCGCGGCAGCATACGGGACACTCCTAGCTCCGCGACCTTCCGCCCGAGACCCAACATAATGCATGGCCGTTGCTTGGCGTGACGAAAAAACCTGCTCACGCGCAGGACAAGGAAAGGCGCCCCCCCTTCTGGATTTTCACACGCGCCCGAAGCCCCACTCCCACCGGCCACGCCCGACCCACCAAGCCCAGGAGGGGGGGCACCTCAACGGTGAGCTCCGTAGCTCTGAGCACAGACGGATCGAGGCTTAAAAAGACCTGGGGCCCCTCACAAGGTTTGCAGAGTGACCCCTCGAGGTCTTCGAGGAGGGCGGTTCCTTCATCAGTGCCCCCCGAGGCCAGGACGTCCTCCCAGAACTGCCGAAGCCACGGGCTGGCGTTAGCCTGGGCAACGCCTCCAACGCAGTCCTTTGGCTCACACTCACATGCGACTTGGCCTAGGAGGGCTCCGAGGACCTGAGCGTGCTCTTGGGGGGGCCTGACCATTGATTGGAGCCAAGAAATTCTGCGAATTCTGAATTCACAAGACAGACTGCCTACTTCTAGCTTCCTAAGAAGAACCTCAGCATTAGAAATGGTTTTACGACCCTACCTTGCGTGCGCTCAGTGAACCTACCCTTCAGAATTACTCGAGCGTATTAAACTACTTTAGACTGAAGCGGTTCCATACATCTTTTGCTGAGCGGGGTCTACATATTCATCGCGCACGCCTCTAGCCCGCTGAGGGCCGCGTTGACGACCTGACCGACGAAGACGATGGCCCGAAACCTGAGAGGCGTAGACGAGGTCCAAACGTGCCCCATGTTTTCCCACACTTTGTCGATAGCTGCTAAAATTGCTGACTTTTCTGCCGTGAACCCGTTGTTGTAGTGATGAGGGCCTCCAAGATACCTTGCATATGCTTTTGCGCTGCCTTCTAGAAGTTCTGGCCGTTCATGAAAAACTCGATTCAACTTCTGAGCGTGTCTTTTTCCTCCCTGGACGATGCTGCAGTGCTTCTCCCTGCTCTGCCCCCCCCCCCCCCCCCCCCCGATTTCCTCAAGTCCGGCATCGATGATGAGATT